TCACAGCAGGTCACATGACAGTTGTATAGAATGGATGGCTTCATTCATGCCATCCATTGTATACTAGTGCCTAGCTGTGAATGGTCACAGCGATCACATGCACATGTCATGTGATTAGCTGTAGCCAAATCACAGCTAAGCACAAAAAAAAAAAAAAAAAAAAAAAAAAAACCCTGAATGAATCTATGTGATTCAGGAAAATGCTTGCTTATAGCAAAGTAATTCTTTGCTATAAGCAAATTGTGTTAAAAAAAAAAAATACTGATCACTTCCCCAAACTAGTACAATGTTACTATGGTAACATTGTAATACTTTGGACATAGTGAAATATGAAAAAAAATCTTAAAAAATTAAAAAAATGTAATGAAAAAAAATTAAAAAAAAAAAAAAAAATATATATATATTTTTTTCATACTGTCACCAGTCAGTGTCCCTGATCACCGCCATGCCAGTTATATGATGACGCTGTACTGCACTGGTGACAGTATGTAAAAAAAAAATAGTGAAAATAATTTTTTAATTTTTTTTAATTTTCCGAAAAATTATGACAAAAAAATACAACTTCAAAAAACTCGCCATGCCTCTTATGAAATACGTCGGACTGTCTACTCTGCAAAAAGGGGTCATTTGGGGGATATCTGTACTGTTCTGACATTCTTGGACCTCAAGAAATTAGATTGGCTGTCAGTACTTCAGGATTGATCAATATCAGATCTATACCATAGTTTGTGAACTCTATAACTTTCCTACAAACTAAAAATTACATCCTAATTTGGGTTATTTTCACCAAAGACATGTAGCAGAATACATCTCGGCCTAAATTTATGAAGAACAATTATTTATTTGCAAACTTTTATAACAGAAACAAAGAAAAACGTGTTTTTTATTTTTTAATTTTCAGTCTTTTTTTGTTAATTTAGCAAAAAAATAAAAACCCCGGCGGTGATTAAATACCACCAAAAGAAAGCTCTAGTTGTGTGAAGAAAATGATAAAATTTTAGTTTGGGTACAATGTTGTATGATCGCGCAATTGTCATTCAAAGTGTGCAAGCGCTGAAACCTGAAAAATGGCCTGGGCAGGAAGGTGGTAAAATTGCCCGGTATTGAATTGGTTAAACAGATATAATAAAATGCTTCTAATATTATAACACACAGACCAAAAGGAAGCAAATAAGAGAAGTTAAAGTTTAAGTTTAATCTGTTAACATTTTACCTTCCCCGGTTCTTCTTTTTCCTCCTCATCAACATGCAAATGATATTCATAAATAAAACCTGTTGTCTTTACATAACTTATTTTAGGACTAGTGACATCATCACTAGATCTCTGTGCTTTTCTATGCATTGCAGTCAGGTAATAGTTGGAGGGAGGGGCTGGCAGGATGCTGTACATAATTGCCTGAAAACAGGAAGCTGTGGTAAAGCGCTGGCCATAGAGATTGAAGTTTGCTCGGTTCGGCAGGGACCGGCTGAATTTCAATCCATGTGTGGCTGTGGCTGTTTGACAGAAGTCAGCAGCCACTGTTCAGTGCAGCTGGAGAGCAGAGAGTCCCATTGTCAGAATACAATCTCTCAGCAGGGATGATTCCTTTATCCACTTTGCTTGTGTTGATGGAGGTATCCGTTTGGTTTTCTTTGGGCTAAAAGGAAAAAATTAATCATTTATGACCAGCTTAACGTTTACATGATAAGCAGAGCTTCTGTGAATGAAAGAACTGAATCTAATGAATGAATGGGGAAGGCCAGGCAAAGTCAGGCTGGGTAGGAAAGGAGAGGACTCTGTATGACTGTGCAAGACTGAAGGGAAGACTGGAGTTCAGCTTTAATGGTTCGGTTCCATTCGCTCTTCACGTTTTTCCATCATAGGTAGAATTTGTAATGACACCCCAAATGTGATGCAATTCTGTGGAAATCGTCATGCAACAGGATGGTGTGACAATTGCGGCAAAGTGCGACTTTGATAAAAATCGGAGAAGCTTGTCATCTGAGAAGGAGCTTCTTTTCCGGCGAGAAACACGCATAGGGCAAGTGAATGGGCTGGCCATATGCAAAACACAGAATGGCTTGAAAAATCACGCTGTCAAAATCATACAGTGAGAATGCTACACGATAATATGAATGAGATTGTGATAATGTGAAAGAGATCATGTTTACATGTAGATTGAGTCAATGGCAAATTCCATATCCAAAGCAACCAGTGGTGGAACTTGATCACATTTACCCATTTTTTTCTGCAGTGAAACATAAAATGTACTGCATTAAAACACATTTCACGTAGATACAAAAAATCACCAGCGCCAAAAAAAGGTGAAATAATTCCTAAGTAAATGCTGCTGCTCATTAGTGTAAACACCAAAAAAATATAATATAAAACATCAAACAGCGCAAATAAAATACAATAATTATCAAATGAAAAAATTATACCAAAACAACTTATATTGCATAAAGATTCAAAATAAAGAAAAACATTTCTTTAAATCAAATAAAATAGTCCCACTCCAAATGATTAAAAAGAATAAGGTGAATGAAATAAAATTGAACAGTCCTTCTCCAAAGAGCCTTTGACCCGTGTTAACACCGTGTTAGTGCTCAGATAACATACCCTACTCACCAGATATTGGTAAAAAAAACGCCTTTTTAGGGTTTTTTTTTGGGATCCTAGATCCAATCATTACAGCCTCCAATCACCGGGTTTAACATGGACTTCCCCCCACTCCAGGTAGAATATAAGCCTTAGACCTCCAAAACGTGATATAAACCAGCCTCCAACCTCCAGGATCAACAGAAACCACTCGCCAAAAAAGGATATGATGCAGAGAAAAAAATATATAATGTAATACTGCAAAACTCAGACAGGATCAATTTCCAAGTACCAAACCACTCACATTGTCAAAAAATATAATCAGCATTTATTGTTTTAAATGCAGCCAAAACGCCACATCGCCAGGGTATTTTAGGATCTCACAGTCAGCAGCAGATGACAGCATAAGAATCACCCTCAAACAAGATGGCCCCTGAGAGCGTCGCACGCCGGTGGGCACACCACTCACCGGAAGTGACGTGGTACGTTGGACGGTGAAGCCGGAAATGCGTCAATGCGTTTCGCCCCTCCTCTAGGGCGTTTTCAAGTAGAAACTAACTTAATTCCCATGTGACTGGTTTACATCTACAGTATAGGCTGCAAATAAGTGTCTTTGTAAATGGAAACTATTTGGGTTCGCTCCTATGTACCATGAACAGTGCAATGCTACATAGATGTTAGTGGGTGCCTGCTGCTTGCTGTGGGCTATGGAACTTCTTGCATGTTCTCTGCACTGCTTACTAAAAAATATACGTGATCACATGCTCTCCCGTACTTGGGGTTCCCAAGGTTACAGCTTGATCATCAAAATGGGTTGCTTTTTATGGGTTTTCAACTCAAATGCTTCCGAGACCTAAATGCAATATATCCATACTGTTGAAACAGAGTTCCATTTAATTCTAAGCACCATGCTCCATTACGTTGGCCAATGCAGTCATCACCCAGGTGGGGGAATTCAGGCTTAGGAAAACTTAGGGGACTACGGAAGGAGACAAATATACATTAAAACCTTCATAATAAAACAAATTTTAGTGTTACTTCTATACATCATCCTTAAAAAAAAATCTGTTGATTGATCCTTTCTAACCCGTACCGTTTACCCCGAGTACCCTGTGTAGTACAAACACAAGCTCTTTATGATAGGATGAGATGACCTCAGATATTCCTGTGTACTTCACATAAAATACATATTTGCCATAACAGACTTGAGAAAAACCAGCTGCCCCACTCGTGTTATTTGTGGCAAATGGAAAACTCCATTGGTCCTTCCAATAACATCTTGTCAGAGTAATTTATTCTAACGCAAACATTCCAGAAAATGATAACCGTGACATGAAGCAACTGCTGGGGGAGCCATGATATTTGGATATAAAATTGAGACAAAGATATATTTCATAGTGATTGAGAAGACACAGAATGTGCAGGTCCTGATTAATCATCGCTGGCAACGCTGGTATTTTAGGAGAATCCTTTGAGGATGCCGTCACCGAGTATCATTATCAAGTCAAAACTGGTTTTTACTTCCTATTAAAAGATGTATTCAGCAATTTCATAGTTTTTATGTCTATTTCGTCTGATACTGCTATTTTTAATTTTGAGACACTAGCATATTATAAAACACTTCAAAATGAGACCCTAGAGTGTAGTACTATTATAGTACAAACATAATAAAATACTAGGATCAAGATTATACACCTTTTTCTGAAGACGGGTTTTAAAGGTATGTTTAAAAGGTCAAAGTGACAGATCCTCTTAATAACGCCTTCCTTCCTTCCTCTTACTGATAATTGCCTTCTCCACATTCCCCCTTTACCCTGTTCAATCAGATACCTTGGAAATACTGGGAACTTCTAAGTATGAAGTAACATGTGACCATCTTTTTTTCCTCCCAGAATACGGTGCCAAAACACTGTCCCATGGGGAAGAGAGAAACCCTGTGTTAGCTCCGATGCTAAGCACAAACAACATTTACCGATTTCCAACATTGAAATCATTGTAAATGCTGGAGATCACAAGCAAACATTTTCTTAAAAGATCAGGTCATTAATTTACTGCTGCTGTGTAATTGAACCCATGGGTTCCTCCAGAATGTGTTAAGGGTTCCTTGAGCTCTGGCTGATCAACCTCCTATCTGATGGTACCTGCATAGTTTCAGGTCCAATGCCACCTGGTAAAGCCAGCCAAGTGGTGTTGTCGCAACCAATGATCCTTTGAGCTGACTGTATGAGGGTCATTCTTCCCCCCGCATCACCAATGTAAAGGGCATTTTCCCATTGGACTAATCTTAGGAGGGGTTCCTGGATACCTGAACATTGTTTCAAAGATTCCTTTGGGGTGAAAAGGTTTAGAAAGGCTGGCATATAATGTCTGTGGTGGTGATGATTATTTTGATTATTATAATAAAGTGTCTTTATCCTTTCAGGGTCAACCTGGTATAAAAGGAGAAAGAGGAGAAAGAGTAAGTATTTTATCAATATGATACCCAAGAGAAACCTTACAACTGCTGCCTTGTCATTGTATGAGAAATTACCTCTTTTTTGACCCAAATAAAATAAAATGGCTGTTCCTAGTCTAGGTGGTATATGTCCCAGAACTTCTGACTACCAAACATTACTGTCATGAGTTTGTTGTTTTCAATCAGTTGAAATAATAGGTTTAAAAAGGGTTGCCTCTATTTATAATGATCTATACAAATTATACATAGAAACAAGTTTTTTTTTTACTCCAGGCATTAAAAAAATTACTCTTGCAGTGGGCCCCCTACACTCTCAGCACTTAAGTCTATAGGTAGATGAATAAGGTGTAATTCTTACCTTATTCCTTGCACCATCAGGCCTCCACCATGCTATATGACCCATCCTCCTAGACTCTTTCCTTTGGAGCTCCAGTCAGTGGTTGAACTCTGACACCATCAAGTACAACACAGGAGCAATAGTCCTGCATTGTATATGAGGGTGGTGAGAGCCCATCCATAACTCAGGGTATTGGAGAAAAGGTAAGCCCTGATAGGCTGCTGGAAGGAGAAATAGGTTGTCTCCTCTTCCTCTACTTCTAGACTTGAGTATTTATCCCTTGCAGGGTGGGTGGACCTCTCTGCAAGGGTATGTTCTTTTTTTATACAAACCCCTGCTTTAAAACATTAAAACAGATCGAAATTATGTTTTTAGTTAGCCAGTTGTGTTTATGTGTACTATGTCTAAAAAAATAATAAAGCATTTATAGATCCCCTTTTAAGTAATGAATTCCATACGTTCTGATGCAGGATATAAGCACAGAGGGTGCAGATGTGGTGAAGGCACTGTTACCATGAGAGTTAGGGGGCCAGACCTCTGATTCTCCTCTTTATTTACCAGCCATTTGTTCATGTTTTATTCTAAATGGAATAAACTTGAAATTTCTTTTCTTTCACATTTTTCCATTCTTTTGTCTGATATCTGATACCCTATGGCATGCCTATTAAGCAAACCAGAAAATAACTGTAGCTTGCTTGGTTTATAAGGAGCCATGAGACTTTTAGTTAAACCTCTCGGTTTAACTGTGACATTCTGATCTGTAGATACAACTATAGGAGAGGGGTGCAGACCTATGCGCTTGGGCAGCACCAATCTTCAGGAGCTACCAACTTGTTTTTTTTTATGTCTTCCAGATTGCCTTATTTGTACAGGAAGTTATACTGTGAATTGCATGCTAAATAATTCTAGAATGATTTAAAACCATTTCATACATACAGAATTATACATTAATGACAATGAGAAATGTCTTCAATATTTCCCAGGCTGGAATATCACTGTAATTCATCTAGTCTTTCCGAAGCTGATTAAAGTTACAATTAATAATGTACAGAATGCAGGCGATGTTCCAACTTTAACATAGGAGTTAGAACCTCTCTCCAGTCCTGAGCAACAATGACCAACCATACATGAATTTTGCCTGGGCAGGACTGTCTAACGATGGACACAGCGTGAGAGCAGCCAGAGAGTTTCCCAGGGACTTATGTTAGACTGATGACACTATATGAGATAATCAAGTACAATAAAACCCCCACAGGAAGTGCAGGCGCTGTCTGCCTAATAGGTTGGAGATAGAACCCCTTTTTACACCCAGTGATCAAGTTTTAGCAATTCTTTCTTCCATTAATTAATATGGTCCTTTGTACATCAAAGTAATTTTGTACCCTTTTATTGCAGGGGGACACCCAGTCACAGAACATGGTTCGTGCAATTGCTCGCCAAGTGTGTGAACAAATCATACAGAGTAAGTACATCACACATTAGCAACCTTGCAGGCCATGCCTCGAGAACCTTGGATGAATTATGGCAGAATCATCACACACATATTCAGCACTTCTATTTATTACTTCTGATACCACATATATAGCTTGATGTACATGATTAGGCAGTGTCCCAACAATTGTTTGTTTTTGAGTGGTGGGTACAACGGAGACCAGGTACCAATTTATGTAGATATCTACAGGTGTCTTTCTCCTATTCCTCTTGGGGTCCTGACCCATGACTTTTTGGTAGCACCACTGCAACACATGAAACTCCTACCTGCTCAGGAAGTTTTACTGAAATTCTTAAAGCAGGGATACATTGTGATTGGTGATTCAGGCCTGTTCATGAATTACATTACAATTAGCAGTTGCAGCTTATATATTTCTTTTATGACTGTTGGTTTTGTAGTATTTCAAAGATCTCTAGCACTTAACATTGGTTTATGAAAAACACCAAAAACCATGTGGTGTTCATTTTGAAAAATTTCAGCAGAAGTGCATGCGTTAAAGTTCAGTAGGTGAAGAACACAAAGCAATAGAAATGTGCAGAAACCTTTGCTCACATTCTTGAAATCTATAGCTGATAATAAATACTTTTTCTCAAGGCTGAGTGCTTTTAATGTCCTTTAAAATTTTTCTAGGTCATATGGCCAGATTTAATTCACTACTGAACCAAGTACCAAGTCAGTCTGTATCGGTCAGAAGTATCCCTGGGCCCCCAGGACAGCCAGGCTCACAGGGTCCACAAGGTCCACCTGGAGAACAAGGATCTCCTGGAAGACCAGGATTCCCTGGCAGCCCTGGCTCACAAGGAACAGCTGGAGAAAGAGGTAAGTGATATTCTGACATTTTTATGTAAAGTAGACAGATAGCTAAACCCCAGTATTAGATGAATTACAACTTCTCCTGTAAAATTAAAGCACCAATCATGGTATCCTATGGCTCCAAGTGTGCCTAAAGACATTGGAAGATAGTTGAACATGAAGGCACCATTTGACCTCCTTTAGAAAACATGCTGAGCCTTGCAGAGTCCCCCATAAACTTTCAAGATCAGCTCGGCTTCCATATAAATTTATTATATTGCAGAGTTGAGGAAAAAGAAACAGAGAAGTGCAAACTTATCTTGGGTTTTCTATACCGGGCTGATCAGTATTACTCATGAGAGTTGTCAGCTGGTGACATCTTGGCTTTCCAAATATGGCCTAAGAGTCCCAATCACCTTGCCCCAACAGTCTTTTTAAAGCCTGCCACCTGAAAACCTTAGCTTGCCCTCACAACACTCCACCACTGGTTTTCCTGCCACCATAAAATACTGGGTGCTTATGGCAATGGAAGAGAATGGGACCTTCTCTTTTGGTACAGTGCTTGGCCTAGCAGCCATTTGCTAGGCCTATGCACTGTCATATGATACAGGGAGTGACATCACTGTACCTTCCAGTTCCAGTAGGTGGAGGAGTGCTGTGAAAGTGAGTATAAAGTCAGGGGAATGGCAAGGTGGCAGGGTCTCTTTAAAGGGGTGATTGTCATGTTGTCTACAGACTCTGTTGCTCTAATGGAGTGGAGTATGAAGGAGCATGTGTACAAGCCAACAGTCTCTCTTAGACAATGGGCAAACCAAGTTGTGGACAGTGTATAGAACAGTGTCTGCAAATTTCCTGGTGAACCTTTTGTCAGAGTCTTTATCCTAATCTGATGCCATTGTTTGCCAGTGTGGTCAAATATGTGACTGGTTGGTGAGAATTGTTTTCCAGTGAAATGAAAAAGCACTATGCAGGGTCAGGGTGGCCGTATAAAGCATTGCCACCCTTGCAGCTCTGCAAGGAAATACATCTGACTCAGTGCATAAATGGATCAATAATTGAATGAGTGAGGCAATAATTGAATGAATGAGCTGATAATTGACTGAATTAACCAATAACAAATGAATGGTCTGTTGCTTAAATAACATTTCCTTATATAACAGGTTTAACTGGTGAAAAGGGAGAGAGAGGAAACTCTGGAGTAGGAACACAAGGACCAAGGGGTCCTCCGGGACCTCCAGGTAAGAAAACAAAATTGGGAAAAACACCTTATACAGGGAGCATGAATACATTCAGGTGATGCCAAATTCTCATAAAGCCAGGGGCAAAATAATATACAGGTTCCGTTTTTAACTGATCCCAGCAGAGAAGTTAAAAATCCCCTTTGTTTGCTTTAGACCTCTGAGCCTTCAAAAGATCCAAAGATATATACAGCTTACAATAAATTAATTTTTCTTGAATGTTATCTTTGAAATATAATCACATACAATATAACAATTGAAAAGAGCCACAAAGAAAGTTATCAGCAACTAAAAAAAACACAACATTTGAAAACTTAAATAGATATAGTCAATGATGATACATTTCTCGTAATTACTGAGATTTCACATTTTAACATCCTTACTGTGCCATATTTCTATTACATACAGGGGAAGATTTACTAAAACTGGAGCACTGAGAATCTGGTGCATGGTAGCCAATCAGCTTCTAACTTCAGCTTGTTCAATTAGGCTTTGGCAATAAATCCTGGAAGCTGATTGGTTTCTACGCAGAGTTGCACCGGATTTTGCACTCTCCAGTTTTAGTAAACAATCCCCACAGTGTATTAGATTTAAATTTGCTCGCTCTAGTGGCAAGATGGATATTAGACAAAACAATCCGCATTCCTGCTGGATGGCTTTTCTAATAAAGTCAGTGACATTACTTTTTTTTTTTTAGATGTAGATAGAGGTTAGAATGGCTGTCAAGCTTTTATTGCTGTCTGAATTCCTGTTAGGGAAATTTTTTTATCAAATTATCCTGATCACCATTGTCATTGGAAATGAAAGTGAGGGTAAAACCCAAAAATTTTGTTTTGCCACCAAAACAAGAAAAGAGGTGAAATCTTTCAATGGGGACACTTTTTCCTGTGATAAGTAAGAAGGGGATTTCCTCCACATTGGAAAAATATCCTTTCACTACCTGTTGACTCTACAGGGCAGGAAGCGAAGTGAAATCTCCCAAATGAGACACAGATGAAAAACCCGACAGTGGTTTTAGCTCTCCTCTAAAATGAAATGTTTGTTTTTTGATATACTTGAACATCTTTTTTTTTGTCCAGGATCCCCGGGTGAAGGTCGTACTGGAAATCAAGGTCCAGTTGGGGTTCCTGGCCAGCGTGGCCTCCCAGGTCCTCCAGGAAATACCGGTTCTATGGGCCAGCCGGGTCCTCAAGGTTATTGTGACGCTGCCTCGTGTGCTGGATATGGTGAGTGATGGTCATTTGTTGTTGATATTAGTTGTTTCTTAGTCTGGTATGTAGGATTGACTGTAACAGTAGGCTAGCTTGGTTGTATTTAGTTTAGATCATTTCACACATTTACTCATCAATTCTGATATTCTCAGATTCACTTATCCCATGTATTGTTTCTATTCAGTCATCACACATTATTTCTCATGCTGAATTTTTTGTCATAGTTTCTCACATTGACTTATCACATATTTGTTTATTTTCAGTAATTACAAATGCCTTTTTCATACTCATTTATGGTGCAGACCCTTCATTTTCATTAACTCCTTTGCACCACCACCAGCACGGCTTCTCTACCACGTGACTGTTGTGATTGGCTCTCACAGCAACCACATGATCAAAAGTGCATACTGCTGGCTTCTGATCGCTGAGAGCTGTCAGGGACAGCTTGTTCAGTGAGCTGTGGGAGCCATCTTTAGAGCTGTCGGCACACAACCTCAAGATAACATGGATACATATGTATGGTGGCTACAGTGCTAAAACCCATTTTTCCTGATGTTGCATATATGTATTACACGGTTGGCAAGGGGTTAATCATATTTGCCTTTTCACAATAATTCCCTACAGCACCCTGTCCACAATAATGTGCACTTTCCAGGGTGAGTGCAGTGTTATAACCTCTTTAATTGAGGGCTCTCGGTTTATTTATTGAAATGAATTGAATTATTTATTGCATGTTTGGGCCCCATGCACATGGAAGTTGACATGTTCTTGAGTCTTGTATATATCCAGAGCTTTCCTGCACCCATGGAGCACCGGTGTCACCAACAGCCACTAATGCAAGTGAATGGGACTACGGGGCTGGCTGCTTGTATGTCTGGTGTACTTTCCCGTATGCGCCACTTTCGAGTTCTGGGCCATATGCGCATACCTGGGTAAATGCTGTTGTGGAGGACATCGGTTGGCTTTTGGCTTGTATGGGCAGCTCTACACATCTCCTTGGCTCCCCGTGTGCAGGAAGGGAAGCAGGAAGGAAAAAAAGGAATGAAGGGAGGAGGGGATTTAAGAAGGAAGGGAGGAAGAAAAGGGAGAGAAGGAAGGGAGGGCAGGAATGGGGGAAAAAGAAGAGAGGGAGGAAAAGGAGTGAGGGAGGGAAGTGAGGGAGGGAGGAAGGAAGGAAGGAAGGTTGGACTCACATGGATGGTTCCCAGCTCACAGGCTCAGTCAGAAGCATCACAGATCTGCCAGCTGCTCTGTATACAATTTCCCGCCCACACATCCCCTTCTGAGAAGCTGCATGGAGTGGAGTGTGGGCGGGCACAAAGGGAGGCAGAGCAGATCCAGCCTCTCTTCTCTCCTATTGGTGTGGATTATGGAGGGAGGGGCTTTGCACTGAGGAGCACACAGGGGGGTCCAGAAAGAGAGGGAAAAACAGGCGGGGATTATCAGTGCAGCGGTGGGCACAGTTACAAGCACCGATCTCCCTGTATGGCTTTCAATGAAGCAGCTGGAAAACACTTCTCCTCAGACTCCTGCAGCTTTCAGCGGCTTCATTGAAAGACATACTGGGGATTGGTGCTTTCAACTGCCCCTACCACCTTCCACCAACCCCTAGTCCTGGCCCTGCTCATCCCTACGTTTTTTTCCACTCTCCAGATGCAAGCAGGTAAGTGGAGATTTTGAGGGCTGCTTTAGGGTATTAGGAAGAATACTTTCTGCTTCTCACCTGCAATAGAATTCAACATTGTCAATGCCACAGCAGTAGGTCATACCAACATAAGCCTGATCCACATCTGATATTAATGGGCTCATGAGTCCCACTGGGCCCTTGTGCAGCTGCACAGTCTGCACAAATAGTATATCCATCGCTGATTGTCATCTATGATAGTCCATACATACTACTTTGCAGAATCACTTGTTACATGAGCTCACTGAACATGATCTGATTTTACTTCATCATGAGCTGTTTCATATTTATGAATTCTAGGTTTGAACCTAATCAACTTTTGGTTTACACTTTGAAATTTACTGAACAGTTTTGTCTAAATTGAAAACCCCACATTCTCTATTAATGTTCATCTGTGACATATTAACCATATGACACTGCAAACATGGTTTGCATGTCAGTGTGTTTGTGTGCGTTTTGTCTGCATGGTTTGCAATGTTGGTGAACGTGTTTTGCTGTTCCACATCAGTGAGACTCTTATTTTGTAAACCAGACTTTGGAGCAGTGACATTTGCCTGTTTATTTACATAATGCTTTCAATGGCATATTTAGCAGATCATAAGGAAGCAATTAGGAGACATCCATTTTTAGGGTTTACTTTAAAGAAAAATACCAGGTATGGATATTTTATACAACGTTACATTGTATGTAGGTGGCGAGGTGGGCCCATAAAAAATAACACTCTCCACTTTGTCCAATCACAAAATGCTTTGCAATAAAGTATTTTCTGAATGGCACCTATGCCAAGTAGTTGCTTTCCTGTGTTCGTAATGCAGCAGGGCAGCTGCTCAGCAAGTGGAGTTTGCTGGAGTAGTGGTGTCTACTTTGTGATTTCCAGCTTCCAGGGGATTGGCCAGGTATGGTATATGCATGATTCCATGATGATGGTCCAAACTGAACCAGTGTAACTACTGTATATATAAAATATCCAGACATGGAATTCTTTAACCGCTTCCCGACCACCCTATAGCAGAAATACTGCTACAGGGCGGCACGGGTGTGCAAAATCACATATATATACGTGATTTGGCATTTCCGGGTAGGGGGTCAGTGAATACTCGCCAGTGCCCGGTGATTGTCGAGGATCTCCGACGGGGAGGAAAACTGTTTGTAAACAATACAGTTCTCCTCCCTGTTGGCTTATGCACACTGCTTTGGATGGCTGTGCACATGGACACACCCCCTAGGTAAAACACACCCAGCACACAGTTAACCCTTTGATCACCCCACGTTAATCCCTTCCTCCCTAGTGCCATTAGTACAGTGTCAGTGCTTTTTTTTTTTTAGCACTGACCACTGTATTGCTGTCACTGGGGATGTTAGTGACACCAAGTCAGTTCCCCCCAGTGTCAGAATGTCTGCCGCAGTCCCGCAATAAGTCAATTACTAGTAAAAAATATAATAAAAGAAAATAAAGCCCTGTATATATGGTTTTATCCCTTGATGCTTATGTCACTATTGAACACAATAAGTATGTAGACGTTGGAGGATGGAACCATAGTGCATGGCCAGAGACACAGGCACTCAACCCTCCTGGAAATGAGTGACTGTGGCTGCAGAGCTGGAATGGCACATTGGTGGCATACATGGGTTGCTGGAGAGGTGAGTATAATACCTATACCGATTACCTCTTCTTATTAAGGAAAACCCCACCAACACCAGCCAACTGACAGGTTAGCCTACTCCCTCCTTCTTTGGAGCATATCGTTTGCTCCATCACTACAGGTGCATTTCAATAGGAATCCCTTTGCAGATGAATTATTATTTGCAAACTAATAAAAGGAACTCTAAGATTGACATCTGGCATTAGCTGTAGAATAGTCTTTTCTTTGGTTGTCAGTTTGTGCAAACTCAACTATATAATGTGTTGTGACCTGAAGACACATTAATGTTGAATATTTATGAAAAGTGTTGCCTAGGTAACTGTGCAAAAGTTGTTACTCAGAGACACCGATCAGATCAATATTTTTTGAATTTTATTTTGTGGTATACGGCAACATATCACAGCCAGTTACTTCTGCACACGCTTTCATAAATGGATATGTTGTTATTCTAGCGTACATTTTCTGTAAGTTTTGTGTTTATATATTTCTGTTGGTGCTATCGTATATTTGTACTGATTTTTGTGTTTTTTCCTTTCTCGTCCATCATCCTTCTGATCGTCTCATCACATTCACTTTCTGTTCATTTCCAATGAGAAGGCTTAATACCTTACAATGACTACGAACGTTGAAGAGCAAGACCAGTTGTGATATAATCCGCTTTGCCTTATTGGCTCAAACCCGCCAATGGAATATAGGTTGACGGATACATGAAAGACTATAAAGAGGCATTTCTATGTGACTTTAGTTGAGGATTTCCAATGAAAGAATCATGTTTTCCACTACACCCATTATTCTGTATATTGAAACAAGCTGATCATTTTCACTTAGAAAGTGGAAAATCCATTGGCACCCCCTTTCTGTTGACCAATGGGGGCTGTCTTTGTTATATCCCCACCAATTGGCTGTTTGGTAAACCTTTCAAAGTATAGAATTATAGCTACTTTTTTTTTTCCCCAAAGCTGGTCTCAGAAACGCATTCACTTTCAGTTTATTTCCATGGCCAAGCCTCATTGTGTTGAAAAAAAAACCAAGAAGCTCAAGGTGTAAATGCAGAATTGCTCAGTTGATTGGTGGTGCAATACTGAAGCTTGGCAATGGTTTTTTCCCTTCTAAATAAAGGAAAAGGTAACTTCAGAGGACAACTCCAGTCAAAAAGTATATTGTTAAGCATTTATATCAATCACTGCCTACATGTAGCATTTATTTCCTTTTTTGGTGCAGGTAGTCTTTGGTCCCCCATGGCTGCTTTACCCTAAAGAGTACAACTAATTTTTTTTGCCAAGCAAATTTTTTATCTTTGTGGTCACGGTTCTACAACCTGATATACCTACAACTTACTCAGTGTCTAAAACATTCACAGCTGCAGATAGTGGAATATATGGTTAATTTTTTTTTTTTTATTGAGTCAGTGATTGTGTCAGCCACACATCTCCCCCTCTTTATTCAAGGGCCATTACTGGCAAACCCAATTTGAAATTTTTACTTGGTGAGCAGTAAATGATGGGATTTAATAAACAGAAGCATCATAGGTAATTACAGTTGTCAAAATGTAATTACCATAGCAATTTGGAATTCCCTTTTAAACAATGAACATTATGCAGTATATTGTGGAAAGATATACAAGTATCTAAGCTAATGACCATTTATTGCGGCGACCTGATCAACTCAACTTGGCAGGATGGCATAGAGCTGAGAGAAATCAAGACACTGTGACCTATCAGTCATTTTCCGATGTAAATGTCTTTAAATTTCATGTACTGGTGACGGTTGTCTAGTCTTCGACTACATTTCTGTTGACCTGTCTTATTTGTATTAATCGTTGAGTGTTGTAAATTAAAGTACATTATTTAAAATATGTACATTATTTAGGAGTTGTTTTCATGTTTTAGTATTTTTATATGCTCTGCCATGTATGTATTTAATCATTTGTACGTGGTGGTGGGGGGTGAAGGTGGATATGGGGGACAACCTGATCATGGTTCTCCTGAAACCTATGGCCCGGCCAGCCCTTACGATGACGACGATGATGACGAAGAACCAGATCCCTATGGACCATACCAAGTTGCCTACCCTGAGTCCTATGGGCATGGTGGTTACATCCAACCAGAGTTCACCCCAGTACAGGAGGACTCTCTGGAGGTGAGGTCTCCTGGAATCAGTCGTCATTCCCGTAGCATTGGAAGATCGTCCAAGTCTCCGAAACAAGCTTAAGAGGGATGGACTCTTTAAAGTAGCTACACGTCCTTCCTTTGTTGGACTGCCACCACGCATTGTATACAGTACATTGTACATAAGTAACTTTTTTTTATGTTTTTGGAAATTGTTTACATAAATTAGAGTCTCAAAGCAAATATATATCTCTAAAAACATGTACTGTGTGGGCAGAATAAATACGGTTTCAGTTTGGGTTTTGTATGAGCCCTGTAGAACTTTAAGGACCAGTGCTCAGTTATTGCTAATGACAATTTAGATAAGTCTGTGATCATTAAATGGATTGCATATCACTGACTATAGACATATTCTGCCTCCAGTGGTACAAAGTGGTGGGCCACAACTTCTGCCAAATTGCATTTTCTGTATCAGTTCTTTACCTTGTAACTTCAATTCAAAAATGAGATGGCTGATAAAGACTAAAGGAAAAGACCACTGAATAAAAAAAAACTTGGGTAATCATAAATTATAAGAAAAATGTGGACTTCTTACATAAAAATTCAAATCATCTCTAGATGATTTTATTTGCTCTACCCTACAGTTCCTTCACTTTCATTGGGTTAAAAAAGGATTGTTAACTTGATCTCCTTCCTTGGCTGTACAAGAGTTGCTACTTGTCTTGGCTTCATAGGATTGTTTTAAAAAGTCAATGTAGCCAGCATCAACATCTCCAGTGCCTCCTTTAGACCTGCTTACTTTCTTGGCTTATTAAATGTCTAAGCCAGGGTTTCTTCAGGTGTTGCTAGGGGTTCCTTGAGCAATTTCTAACTCTCAGATAGATTTCCACTGACACACAACTCATCTTTTTTAGGTATCTGTAAGGGAGTAATTCTTCCCAGTGACCACAAATTTAAGGAGCATTCTTCAAACTGACATCACACTAATGCATCATGAGATGTACATATAGTCATTTTTAGCAGGGGTTCCCAGAGTTCAGAAAGATCATTTAAGGGTTCCTCTGTGTTGAAAAGGTTGGTCTAAGCTCTAGACAAAGTAGACAAGGGCCATGACCACTAGGGTAGTAGTGAAAGCTAAAAGAAGAGTGATGCTGTCTTTCCCTTATGACAGGATCACTTTGATCTCTTTGGATCTTCACATCTGGGTTGCAAATATCAGCATAATTTGACACCTAAACTATGTGTTCAACACATAAAGAAAATATGTTAAAGTGAAGATTTTGCTTAAAGGAAACCTTTGCTGAGACAAACATTGGAGCTTTGCTTGGTTGACATACTGACCATCTTGCTTCACCACTTTGTGTCACTGGCCTGGAACATGTATACACATAGGGACTTTTTTTTCTTTGTTCTGATCCTGAGTTCCTGATCTACATACTCGTTCCAGGTAAAGAAAAGCACTGAAGTAAGCTCATCAACATAATGATACGCAACTAGCATTTTCAGAAAAAAGGCGGCTCCCTTATTCCACTTATGCAGAATTGACTTTTATTCACAAACGTATCTTTCCACATAATCCATAATTCAATTTAGATTTAGCTTTAGTACGTTTACTGGAAGTTAGCTCTTTGTCAGGGCTATTGCCTATATTGAAAAAAAAAAATATTTTGTAATGTAAAACCTATAAAGTAATTAAAAAAAGTCATACTTCCCTCTGTTGTTGTGACATTTTGCAATAATTTAAAGGTTGGGCACACCAGTCTGTTCTTTTACCTTAGGTTCTTGGTGCAAGAGGTAAAATGAGTATGTGCTTCTTCTATTTCCTGAACTGGACATTCTCTGTGATCTCATAGAATATGTACATTTTATTTTTGTCTTTGAAAAGAAGAAAAAATTGACTATTAGAATTAAACATGCGGGTAATTTATTGTAAACAAATTTCCACTGTTTTTGTAAAGACAAATAAAGATTGTTTAATGTTTTAGACTGTTTGTTGCTCCATTTATTTAAACCCAAATCCAAACTTTTTTGTTTCAGATAGAGTGGGGTAAAAACTTTTGTCAGGGTTTGTGTCCATGATTTTTCTTTTTTTAAAGTATTAAAGTAGAAATCCATTTTTTCTTTCTTATTTTTAGACTCTCCTTCTCCCGTGTTTAACTGCTTGCCACCAACCCACAGTACATTTACTGGGGGCAGGCAGCAGCTACAGACTAGGCCAGTGGTGGGCAACCTTTTTTTCAACTGAGCCAAATCTCGCCAAAACCACGATTGAAATTTATTTTGAGAGCCACATTTTTTAAAACTGAAAATACATCTCCCATATAGTAATTCATCCCCCATAGTAATTCATCCCCCATATAGTAATTCATCCCCCATAGTAATTCATCCCCCATATAGTAATTCATCCCCCATAGTAATTCATCCCCCATATAGTAATTCATCCCCCATAGTAATTCATCCCCCATAGTAATTCATCCCCCATATAGTAATTCATCCCCCATATAGTAATTCATCCCCCATAGTAATTCATCCCCCATATAGTAATTCATCCCCCCTATAGTAATTCATCCCCCATATAGTAATTCATCCCCCCTATAGTAATTCATTCCCCATAGTAATTCATCCCCTATATAGTAATTCATACCCCATATAGTAATTCATCCCCCATAGTAATTCATCCCCCATATAGTAATTCATCCCCCATAGTAATTCATCCCCCCATAGTAATTCATCCCCCATATAGTAATTCATCCCCCATATAGTAATTCATCCCCCATATAGTAATTCATCCCCCATAGTAATTCATCCCCCATATAGTAATTCATCCCCCATAGTAATTCATCCCCCATATAGTAATTAATCCCCCCTATAGTAATTCATTCCCCATATAGTAATAATTCATCCCCCATAGTAATTCATCCCCCATATAGTAATTCATTCCCCATATAGTAATTCATCCCCCATATAGTAATTAATCCCCCTATAGTAATTCATCCCCCATAGTAATTCATCCCCCATATAGTAATTCATCCCCCATATAGTAATTCATCCCCCATAGTAATTCATCCCCCATATAGTAATTCATCCCCCATATAGTAATTCATCCCCCATATAGTAATTCATCCCCCATAGTAATTCATCCCCCATATAGTAATTCATCCCCCATAGTAATTCATCCCCCATATAGTAATTAATCCCCCCCATAGTAATTCATCCCCCATATAGTAATTCATCCCCCATATAGTAATTCATCCCCCATATAGTAATTCATCCCCCATAGTAATTCATCCCCCATATAGTAATTCATCCCCCATATAGTAATTCATCCCCAATATAGTAAGTCCCCCCCTGTGTCAATTCACTTACCTTTGCTCCGCGCGTTCCTCTCGCCGTGTTCCCGCGCCGTTCTGGTCTTCAGGGCGGACTGTGAGAGGAGAGGAGTTTGTCACGCTGCCCCGCCTACATCCTGGCTGCCCCGCCTACATCCTGACAGCTGCATCGTCCTGACTTTTGGGGGGCGGCCGCCCAAGAGGAGGGAGGGGAGGGGCGCCCGGCACACAGAAGAGCCGCATTTAAGTTTGTAAAGAGCCGCGGCTTGCAGACTACTGGACTAGGCGATGTACCTGTATATCATGACCTGTTTCTGGGGTTTCGGGTGCGTATGTGTGCGCCCCCTGCAGACCTGTGCTGGGATTGTACACAGCACGTGTTTGTCAGCAGGTTTCAGCCAATGATTTTGTCTGTATGCCTGCTGATCAGCTGTTGCCAGGGGCGGACTGACCATTTGGAAACTCAGGCACTGCCCGAGGTCTGTAGGGGGCTCCATGAGATGCCCCTGGTACCTTTTTCATAGGCTTTTTTGAGTTTGGGCAAGGACACAGGGGCCCCATGATCCCCTATTGCCTGGGGGCCCCATGAGTTGTCAGTCCTCCCCTGGCTGTTGCCAATCACAGAGCAGACTTCTGTGTTTAACAAACATAGTACATAGAACAGCAATCTGGCAGTTTACTTTCCCTGAAATCAACTCTGAGTTCAGGGAGAAAAAGCATCCAGATCTGTGAGTTAACACAGCACACATTATACTTGTTAGGCACACAGGTAACCCCTTCCCAGCCAGTGTCATTAGCAAAGTGTACAGTATTATCACTGATCACTGTATTAGTGTCACTAACAGCATCAATATCAGTTGGTGTCCCTCCCAGCCAGTGTCTGTTAGTGCCAGATTTCCCACCACATTATCACAGTCACACTAAAAGTCACTGATCACCGCCCCTACTAGCACAGCATCTATGGCTGCGTAAATTCCAGAATATAAAGCATAGATTGTAGGTGACATAACTTTCACAAAAACCAAATAATATACACTTTTTAGGATTTTTTTTTTTGCCAAAGCCATGCAGCAGAATACATTTTGTCCTACATTTATGAAGAAATGCGATTTTACTGGATATGTTTTATAACAGAAAGCAGAAAATATTGTTTTTTTTTTCCCATTGTATTTTTCATTTATAGAATAAAAAAACCCAGTGATGATCAACCAAAAGCTTTATTTGTGTTAAAAAAAGATATAAATTTGATTTTGGTACAGCATTGCATGATCATGCAATTGCTAGTTAAAGTAGCACAGTTCTGAATAACAAAAAAGCCCTGGTTATGAAGGAGGTAAAGCCTTCTGGAGGTCAAGTGGTTTAAGAAAACAAATTCCAAGTTCTACTTATCTACACCATACTCTAATGCTGTCCCAGCTTCCTTCTCAATCCGGCCCCGGCAGAACAAGGGATGCCATTCGCCCATTTCTGCCATCACGCAGGCTGGGCTGACAGTATTTTCAGGACTGGGTGGTGCTCATGTGTCTTTATGTGAGCATCCCTCAGTCCAGAAACAATAACTGCCCCAGCTGTCACCTAAGTAAGAAGAGGAAGCTGCTGTGACATCACCAGACTGCTTAGAAGACCATGAAAGGGTATATGAAGTTTTTGGGGTTTTTTTTCTGTCTTATTTAAACCTAAGACACTCCCCAGTCATTATGGCTCATCTTCATCATGACAGGAGCAAGCTCTCAAATCTCCCCACGTGGCCCACACTCTCCTTTGTTGAGGCATCATTGAGCTCTGAGCTACTGCAACAGGGGAGAGAGAGCGCATGAAAGGGTCTGAATCGGCTGAGAATGTCTAAGCAAGCTCCTAGCAGCAAGACAGGATAGGATTTACCTTTGGTCAAAGCTGCAGTTTGTTATTATCTACAGGTGCCCCTTACCGGCATAGGCAGTTTATTGGTAAATGTGAACTAACCCTTTAACCACTTGACACAGATAGCCGAATGACGGCTTCACTGCGGCCAGCCAGTTGTGGGTGGGCGTCATCGCAGAACGTGCTCTCCTGTGCGACCCCAGGGGCCCGCGCCCGGCGATCTTCGTGATTGCTGTGTCCAATGACACACTGATGACTGGGAAATGCAATTGCCGGTTATCGGCTGCACTTTCCTCACGCTGTCACAGCGTGAGGAAAGTACTCCTGAGAACCGGCAGTTGTCAGAGGAGGGATCGGCACCGATCATCAGGGCACTGATGTTCAGTGCCCTGATGATCAGTGCCAAGCAGTGCCACCCACCAGTGCTGCCCACCTGTGCCCATCAGTGCCACCCACCTGTGCCATCCATCAGCGCTGCCAGTAAGTGCCCATTAGTGCCCATTAGTGCCGCCAGTCAGTGCCCATGATCAATGCCACCTCATCAGTGCCGCCTATTAGTGCCCATCAGTACTATCAGTGCCACCTCATCAGTGCCCATCAGCGCCACCTATTAGTGCCCATCAGTGCAGCCTCATCAACACACATCAGTGAAGGAGAAAAATGACCTGTTTGCAAAATTTTATAATGGAAACAAAGAAAAACTTTTTTTTTTTTTGCTCTTTTTTTGTTTCTTGCGCAAAAAATAAAACACCCAGCGGCGAGTAAATACCACCAAAAGAAAGCTCTATTTTGTGCTGCAAGCTGAAAATTAGCCTGGGCAGGAATTAGGGGTATTAGGGGTACTAGGGTACTTGACTGTTAATTCACCGGATATTTATATATATATATATATATATATATATATATATATATATATATATATATATATATGTTTTATTTAAATATCTGTTCCCAATGTATCCATTGTTCTAAATGTCTGAAGATGAGGCATTTGTTAGATGGAGTTGGAGACCACACTTTGTAGAGGGACCTTGACAAGGTAGTGTAGTTTTACATATACGTGCAATGTATGCAAGAACAACCTGTTTTTAATGCACGCTGCTTAGGTTTTGTTTTTCACTGGCTGGCTGCTAAGATTGCTGGGGAATGGCTTGCACTTTATTCTGTGAACTTCCTGGCCATATTCACGTTACTTTAAAATCTAGTAATAGCTTGAGAAAGCAGCTACAGTAAAAAAGCCTGCCCTGCCAAAATGCTGCAGAGAAGAACTCTTGCTGCTTGTAAGCAGTGGTATCTCTGCAGAGGTCTGGCACACCCCCTGCTGAGTCACAGCTAGAACTCTCCAATCAATAGGGAGCATGAAAGTTGCAGAGCTATGTCAAGATTCAGCAGGGCGCTTTTCTGACTTCTCCAAAGGAACCAATGCTTTCACACAGAGAGCAAGGGTCCCCTCTGGAACATGCTGGCAGGGGACACACTTTTCTACTCAGGCCGTGGATGCTTTTTAAAGGAAATAAACTCCAATACACTGCACTTACCTAAAGGTTCAACTGGGCTTTAAACATTAAAGATGAGACAGAATTTCACTCCAAACACACAAATTACAAGTGGTTGTGGCAAGTTTCATTCTGTCACAGGGCAGCAGAGTTACGACTTTTACTAAACCTCGGACCCCACATTCACTATATCTGGTCTCCCCGGACCCTGCATTCAATATATCCGGTCTCCCCAGACCCTGCATTCACTATATCTGGTCTCCCTGGACCCTGCATTCAATATATCGGTCTCCCCAGACCCTGCATTCACTATATCTGGTCTCCCCGGACCCTGCATTCACTATTATATCTGGTCTCCCCAGACCCTGCATTCATTATATCCGTCTCTCCCCGGACCCTGCATTCACTATATCTGGTCTCCCCGGACTCTGCATTCACTATATCTGCTCTCCCCGGACCCTGCATTCACTATATCCGCTCTCCCCGGACCTTGCATTCACTATATCCGGTCTCCCAGGACCCTGCATTCACTATATCCGGTCTCCCACAGTACACACAACATGGAAATGCAATTATTTTAGTAAATATAAACTGCTAAATACCTTTTGTCACATGCACTCTCCCAAGAAAAAAAAACCTCTATAGCAATACACACTAAAACTGAGCATGTGCATGTGACTACAACTTTAAGAATGACGTTAAAGAGTTACTAAACCCTGGACCCTGCATTCACTATATCTGGTCTCCTCGGACCCTGCATTCACTATATCTGGTCTCCTCGGACCCTGCATTCACTATATCTGGTCTCCCACAGTACACAGAACATGGAAATGCAATTATTTTAGTAAATATAAACTGCTAAATACCTTTTCTCATCAGCAGTTAGAGCGGTCTTGTGACCTCAGCAGAGAACTGGTTAAAGCTTGGAGTTTTCATTCTGCTCTAGGAGGATGCAGAACCCCCTGACCTCCTTATGGACAGTGCTCATTGGCCCTGTGCTGATCACATGCACTCGCCCAAGAAATTAAAAAAAAAAAAACCTCTCTAGCAATACACTAAACTGAGCATGTGCATGTGACTACGACTTTTAGAATGAAGTTAAAGTGTTACTAAACCCCGAACCCTCCATTCACTAAATCTGCTCTCCCCGGACCCTGCATTCACTATATCTGGTCTCCTCAGACCCGACATTCACTATATCCGGTCTCCCTGGACCCTGCATTCACTATATCCGGTCTCCCCGGACCCTGCATTCACTATATCCTGTCTCCCCGGACCCTGCATTCACTATATCCAGTCTCCCCGGCCCTGCATTCACTATATCCGGTCTCCCCGGACCCTGCATTCACTATATCTGGTCTCTCCCCGGACCCTGCATTCATTATATCTGGTCTCCCCGGACCCCGCATTCACTATATCTGGTCTCCCCGGACCCTGCATTCACTATATCTGGTCTCCCCGGACCCTGCATTCACTATATCTGGTCTCCCCGGACCCTGCATTCACTATATCTGGTCTCCCCGGACCCTGCATTCACTATATCTGGTCTCCCCGGACCCTACATTCACTATATCCGCTCTCCCCAGACCCTGCATTCACTATATCCGGTCTCCCACAGTACACACAACATGGAAATTCAATTATCTTAGTAAATATAAAGTGCTAAATACCTTTTGTCATCAGCAGTTAGAGAATCTCGTGACTTCAACAGAGAACTGGTTAAAGCTTGTAGGAGTTTTCTATCTGCTATAGGAGGATGCAGAACCCCTGACCTCTGTCTTGACAGTGCTGATTGGCCCTGTGCTGATCACATGCACTCTCCCAAGAAAAAAAACACCTCTCGTAATACACACTAAACTGAGCATGTGCATGCGACTAGGGGTTCAGTCTGTCTTATCAGGTGGACATTCGAATAAGAGGAGGGGCAGAAAAGACAGGATCAAATGGCCTTGTCACACAATGCAGAGGATTAACCCCTTAGGTTCCACAGTGAGTATAACAAGCATGCTTTACTGCATATACAGACTGATTTACTGTTGTGGGTTTAGTAACTTTAAATTTGTTTCATATTCAGTCACACTGCTCCCTAGCACTTATCACAGAATTGAATAATATGTCCCTCTATGTTTTTGAGTTTAGAGAGCCCATCCTTGACTGGTATGTAAACACCTCTTGTACTGGCTCTTCTCAGCCAAACGTTTTCTATGCAGTCTCATTGTTTATTCCCTGGTTGTATCTGAAAGCTTATAGCCATGCCATTGTCACCTAAACCAGGGGACAGCCAGAGCCAAATTAGGACACTATCAATTTATGTCATCCCCCCTGGCGGTATTCCCGAGTGTAGCTCGGGGTAAAGTTTCAGTACCACAAGCGGTAACCCCGAGCTACACTCGGGAATATCCTGCAGTGTTGCTCCGGGATCTTTTCTTCTCTTACCTTGTCCTGCGCTCCCGCAATGTCCCCGGCAATGTCCTCCGGCGGATGCCGGCATCTGTCTTCTGGGTTCCGGTCCCTGCGACGTCGGGACATACAGGAACGAACTGGCGGGAAATTTAAAAATGTGAAAAAGTGACATTCACTAAATTCACTAAAATCACATAGTATAACATTCCTGTATCAAACCATTTCACATACATTGTGTCCCGAGTGCTTTGTCCTGCGCCCTGCCTGCATTTTTACTGTTCTTTCTGCCTGGAAACTGAGAAACGTCCATGGCGTCCAAAAAGCGTCCCTTTAGGTCAAAAGTGGTTTTAGACCGGCTAGAGAACAGCGATAGTAAATCAGAACCACTTGCAGAATTGAGTGATAATGATTCGTGGGGGAAATTCGTCATCAGACACTGAAAACGATTTTGTGACTTTACTCAGTGATGTGCGAACTTGGCGCTCTATTTCAAATTTCAGTGTTTTTGGTTTGATTCAATTATTGAATTAAATTTATTATATTTTTTTATGATTATTTATTATAATTTATGATTTCGTGTTTCAAATTTTATCATACCCGGGATGTTTACTAGACTCTTGTTCGGACAGATTTCAGTGAGTGATTCCTAAAAATTACAGGCCTACAATAAAAAAAAAATATTTCCATGCAAAAAAATGTACCGCTTTGAGCACAGAAATATGGACATAATCAGAACGCTAGGGAGGTTACTGCACAGCTCTTCTCTCTCATCGTCTAGTATAGGCCACAAAACGTATAATAGTGCCTGACATTTAGGTCTTTACACACCAAACTTGGGATTTGCTCTGCTGCAAAACACAGGTGCATGTAAAAGTTTTATAGACTAACATTTTTCCATACCTGCCCATTTTTTCAGAAATTATTGGCTGCCGTGGCTGAGTGCAGCCATTGGTAATTAGTACAGCTATGGATCCCCCACTTTTCTGCAGGGACTGGCCAAGATTCGATCCATCTATGGGCAGACTGCTTGTACTCTATTGATCGACTTCAGTGCAACCAGCCAGCTGGGTTTTTCCCGAATGATCACTGCCGGCAACTAGAGCCACTAGCAGTGGATATCGTGTTCTGCCAGCCAGGAAGGCTGCCCAACAGAGCACAATAGTGCTGCAGGAGGGATTCCCCCCATTAGCACTGATAGGGCAAACAAGCAACTCATGGTTGCATATAGTTACATAGTTAGTGTGGCTGAAAAAAAGACAAAAGTCCATCCAGTTCAACCATTAGAGAAAAAAAAAGTTATATAATCCTACACCCACAGTTGATCCAGAGGAAAGAAAAATTGTATGATGTATGGCCTATTTTAACTTGCCGGCTCTGCTACTGTGTGCCGTTTATTCTGTCTGAGGGTTTACACGGCTCTGAGGTCTGTTCTGCCTGCTGGTCGGCTGTCACCCTGATGACACAGCAGGCCCACTGAGCTCGGTCACACTTTGCACTCTCACCAGGTCACACTCCGTGTTGGCAACCATTGTGTTTTGCCTCCAGACAGGAACACATAATTGCATTTTACTTGAATAATATTTTTCTAACCCGAGTGATGTTCAGCATAAATCAGATTAATGCTTGTCTAAATTAGCAAATCAAGAGCCACCCTAAAGAAAATTATACCGAATCTCAAACTAATCAAATTCAGACTCCGAAATTCAAAGTTTTACAGCTTGAGATTTTAAAAAGCAGAGATTGTAAAAAAAAATAATAATGTCATTTTGCAGACAGCCAAAAAGGTAGTAGAGAGCAGAAGAGGAGATCCCTCAGTCATATATATTATATATGTGATTGAATTACTGTTTATGGAATGTACAGATCTGCCAAGACAAGTATGAAGACAGCCGGTTGGAATACAAAATACTAGAAACTACTTTAATGCTTTTTTCCCCTCAATATAAAACTTGGCATGACATCTGTTACTTTATAGATGAGAGAATTCCTAAAGGAACCCTATACAGAGATGGACGGGGGGTTAGCTGGTGCTGATCTCTTTCTGAAAATATCAGTTGCCTGGCGGTCTGGCTTTGGCACTTTTGAGATGCTGACCTAGAGCAAGCAATCAGATTAAAAAAAAAAAAAAAAAAAAAAAAGAGCCTGAACTCTGATCTGTATACTTATTCCAAGTTATTGATTTTAAAAGCATTAAAGAATAAGTAAACCCAACATTTTCTTCATATTCCTGATGTACTTTTATGATAACGTATCCTGTTCTGTTCACGTTGCTGACCACACTAGGCATGACAGCACAGCATGGCCAGGTTTCTAGGCTGTGCTAGGAACTCAGCCTGTGCTCCTGCAGTGATCAGACTTGTCCTGACCCCCCCCCCCCCACACACACACACACACACTACACAGCCATTAATTGGGAAGATTAGTGTGCTGCGATTTCTCCTCCCCTAGCTTGTATGTAGCTGAGAACAGAAGGTATGAGATCACTCTTATTTTGACTTTCATTTCTATTTTAAACTGAATGGGTTGTTTTACAAGGTGAAGGTTTACATATACTTTAAAGTGCCAGGCAGATATAAAGAGAACACATTATTGCAGTTCTGTAATCCATAATACATCAATACCCAAAAGTGGAAGCTCCGCTTATCTGCCTGCCTCCCCCACCCGCTGCCACATTTGGCACCTTCGGGGGGGGGGCACTTTGACAGGAACCTGCTCCATCTCCAAATCGAACTGAGCTGGAATTTTCGCCTTGCCCCGCCCCCCCAAGGGAAAAATTAGGTCTCCTCCTTTGCCCCCCCCCGCCTACATACATTTCCTGACAGGTAAAAATATCAGTCTCATGTATTTGATCCGTGTAATTCTCGGCTTGTCCAGTTCAGCAATTGAATCAACTAGGGAGGTTGTATTTTAAAGCAAAGATCAGCAATTGCAACCTACAGGTCTCCTTTAGGGCTAGTTCACACCACAGAAACAGAAACAATCTGGATGCGTTTCTGCATGCCTATTTTCGACGCATTTTGATGCGTTCCAGTGCAGAAGAAATGCAACATATTCTACTTTTTTTTCGCTAGCACTGGAACACACTGGAACTGACCGCACTGGTGTGAACTATGCCATTGGACATCATATAATCTACTATCAAGGTGTTTTTGATACGGGAAAAAAAATGCACTTGACTACATGTGGTGTGCAGCAGTCTATAAAGAGGGCCTGTCATTTGTGCACAGGGGCGGACTGACAACTCATGGGGCCCCCGGGCAATAGGGGATCATGGGGCCCCTGTGTCCTTGCCCATACCCAAAAAAGACTGAAAAAGCCAATGAAAGGTACCAAGGGCATCTCATGGGGCCCCTACTGACCCTGGGCCCTCGGGCAGTGCCCGAGTGCTCAAATGGCCAGTCCGCCCCTGCCTGTGCACCATTGAAATAACCAGCTGTCTTATAAGAAATCACTCGATTCTTGTGTTCTGTTCCATCACCATCATTTATTAGAAGTGGAATCAACATTTTTGTACTTTGACTTTCAGCCAAAGTACAAATGACCTATTCTTTATAGCACCCCAAATCCAAACTACACCCCTCCCCCACCCTTTGCCTTAAGCAAGCCATGGACTGATCCAAATTTGGCTGGATCACCAGTGTGTGGCTGTCTCTGCTCGACAGAAGTCGATCACAGTTTGAAGCTAGAAAACCTTTGTTGATCAGCGGCTGCAGCTTCTGCTAAGTGTATTTTGACAGCGGCAGGTACCTCTGTCAGAATAAAATGTCTTGGCGGCGAAGGGGGGTGTGGGGGTGGGGGGTGATTACTTCATCCTCATTTGCTTAGTTCTACCTATTTATGACCAGCTTTACTTGAGCAAAGCAAGCCACAGATGATGCAATTTTCTTTCTTGCAACCATAGGTTGCAAGAAAGAAAATTGCTCGGAAACCCAGGCAGTGTTGACGCTGGCAGTAATCGCAAAAAATCTGACAGGCTGGTTATACTGA